GCACAAAAAAAGCCTCTGTTTGCAAGCTGTTTAAAAAAACAATCTGACAACTCTCAAGCTCAATAGGCTCCTTAATGACAACAGACATCTAACATCAACACATTCGGCTAAATTACTACTGATGGCTTCCTCTAAGGCATCACCACCAAGCCATCTGCTGATGAAGCGGTTTTAAAAGTTCAGAGCAAAAAGCTGAACTAATCTTTTCTTCTTCACACTTAAGTCAAACCAGCCATTCAACACTGTGCTGTTGAGTATACAGTGTCTGATGTCCAGTGGCTGCAGCACAGACTTATTCATCAACACTAACAATGGCAGAATCAGCAGGGGATCCAAAGCATAACGCAAGTCCACATTTATTTAGGAGGCAGCTTCAAACAGCAAATGTTCAAACAGTATAAACGTAGCTCAACAGTATTAACCTATTTATAGGTTAGGTATGCGGCAATATACCCAGCAAACAGGGATAGTGCTTAGGCTGATTCACAAGTGCTCTTGGCAAACTTACTGGCATACTGGTCAGTCTCTGTTCCTCCAGAATGGAAACTGTTGGCAAGCGGGGAGCTCCAGGAAACCGATTGGCTCATGGCAGGATTGATAGGAACATGCCCATCAACTCCAGAGGAGATGGAGCCTTGACTCTCCAGCAGGGGCAGGAACATAGAGTTGTCCTGATGGCATGATTCTGCAAAATACACAAAGCCAAACACATATGAGACAAAGTGGTGAAGAAAGGGTGAGTCTGCAATACTGATGTCATGTTATCAAGTCTTTTTATTGTTGCTTTTGACTCAAGGGGCTTCTGTTGTGTATGTAATGGCTTGTCCAGGTCTCTCTTTATGTCTCTTGTGTTACTGCACATATACATTTTTAACATGTCTTTAAAATTCATTTTCCCTCTGATACTTGACACCTATGGGGAATCATAAGTTCATCGGATTTAGCAGGTTAGATTTTTAATTATAACCAGTTTAAGTGAGAAATGTGTAACAATTCTTATTGAATTAAACCGCTGAGAGGTCATTTCTGGAATAAAAATATTTATCTAACAGTGACATCTCCCTTCAGTATCTCTTCACAATGAAGCAAACAAAGAAAAAAAACAGGCAAGACCACCAGATATACTGGTGTGACCTAGTTTGATATTAAAACTGTAAATTTCAATTCTGCACAATTTACTTTGTGACATCAGCAGAAATGACTAACAGAGGGCCGTGTAACCCCTGCCTGTAGGAATGGAGTGTGATGTGACCCAGCTGAAAATACAAGAGTATGTATGTCTGAGTGAGTCCAATGTGTGTGTTCTCCCCGAATAGGTTCAATTTCTCAGCTCCCTGTGGTGCTTGACTGACAAACACAAAGGCTGTCATTTAACAAATTATTGCCCACGAGGAGAAGGTCAAGAAAATAACACTGACATGGAAACAGCTGTGTCTAGGTCAGTCTGGACAATTGGTCAGTAAAAAAACTCTTTGTCTAGGACGCGTTTTGTCCATTACAGCTATGTAGTCTAAGTGCAGTAATATGCTGACCTGAAGAGACATTAGGTAGATCGATTGATGAGCAGATACTTCCTGCATTAACTTCCTGGCAAATTGATGAGTACTTATTTAAACAAATACATTTTCATACATTGCAAAGGCCCAGGTCAATTAATTCTACTCTCAAATACATAATCATGTAGATATGATAACTTGTCAACTAGCTATTCACCATGCTAGAGAATAATTTATCCACATATACTGTATAAGTACCACAGCCAGGCTGGCAAATACTATCATCATAAATCTGTACTTTCCAATAATTGTCAAACACATTTTCGAACAAACAGTAAGAGTAGGTGATTGTGTAATGTAATCACTGTATGTGCAGAAACACTTTACAACATGAAAATGTTAGGGGATGATGAAACAAATGTAATTTAGTTTGAGTGCAGCAGATGGACATCTTCTCCAGTAACTTATTAAGTTAATAAAAGGGGTCCATCACCTTAACACCTAGAAGATAAAGGGGGTGTATATGCAGTTTGGAGGGCATTTAGACTGCAGTACATCCATTAATACGCCAACCTATCTGTGTGCTCTCTTAAACAGTGAACATTAGTCAGCAGTAATGACTTAAGGCCACATATACTATATGTTTCCAGTAAATCATAATACCTCCGTTTCATCTAAGATAAAAAACTGGGCTCCTTCAGATGAAAAAATGCCCTAAGAAGCAACAATTAGAGCCTATAAATACAACTTTAAATGATAACAGTTAAAAAAAAAAAGCCCGCAAACTCATAAACAAACAAATAATTGAATATAAGATCTTGAAGTCCAGCAAACGGATGCAGATTCACCTGGAAACATCAACTTCAGGGCTCTGAAAGAATCCAGCTTTGAGAAAAAAAAAAGTAACTTTTGGTAGTCACCCAACTGAACATCATACATATGACAACAACACAGATGAAAACATGGTCTGATTAAGATATAAACACACAGTTTTTGCTATTTCTATCCATTGCCAGTGAGATGATTTAGAACAGCCAATAAAAGCCATAGAAAAGCTCGTTACACTGAATGATGGTGGACAGGTTTGCTAAACTTTCCTATAAACAACAATCGCCAAAGATGTTTCAGCACAAAATTACAGTAGGCTTTACTTAGCGCTGTGCAAACATGTTAGTGAGTAAATGAACACATAAAGTGTATGTGCCCAATGCAATTATTCTATACAGACATGATCACTTAATCTATTCTTCATTTACAGAAAACGACTTGGAGAGCACCCACGTGTGCTCCTTTTAGAAAGACTATCACTGTATAATGTAGCTCCACTTACTTGACTGCTAATGCAGCCATCCAATATCTCAATTCATAAATAAATGATTTACCGTAAGTTTCATATACTGAGCTCTTCTGCACTGATGAATAATGCACGTAGCTTTTATAGTAGTTGCTTTGCTAAATTGGGACAGTTGTTAAACACTTTCACTCCTAGTCTGTCTGTTGAGTACATAATTAGAGCAGAAAGTTGTTGTACTGTAGATACATTTAAGCTGCAGAAGAAGACTCGGAGACAACATGTAGTATTCTACAAAACATTACAAGACATTGAACTGTTTATAAAATACAATGTTTAAATAAATCTACTGTACAAGCACTGGATAACAAAGATTAAGCCACTAAACAAACATAATAAACATAAATAACAGATTAAATTGTGTGCTTGGGGGCTATTAAATAAGTTATGTTCGACAACAGCAGTTTTACAAACTCTATGTACCTTCTTCAGAAGTGAGTTAAACCTACCTGAGGAGCTGCCAAGAGCCTGTGGCATCTTGGCTTCCATTGCATGCACTTGTGTCTTCAGTATGAATCACCCATCAGTAAGCTGTACCGTGAGTACAACGATAACTTGTACAAATGCTGTGCAATCTCGTGGACCTACCTATCCCCTTTGAGAGCTGGGAAATAGCCCGAGTGGTGCAGCAAATATGAATGGGTGGAGATTACACCATTGTCAGGCCATGAGGGGTACAACATTAAACTCTCAAGCTATTGATTGTAGAATATTGATTGAACAAAACTGCTGTATGGAGCATCATAAAGCTTTCTCATAGTCGACAATAAATTCTACACGAAAAGATAGAAGTTCCGCTCTGCTAAAGGTAGGCTTGACTTGAAGTTGATGACTGATGTTGGCATAATCTGTTACCATATAGGTCAGTTACACTTGTCACATAGTCAGTTACTCTAACTTGTATTCATTTTATGTTTTGCCAGCATTTGCTTGCTAGTAGCATAACTCAAAAAGCAGTAAACACATTTTGATTACGTTTTTTGGAGAGATAGGGTATGGCCCACTGAACAATTGATTAGATTTTCATGATCACTCTCATCATACTTTGGATACAGGAATATTTTCAAAATATTACAAACCACTGTGAGTGCTGGAAACATTGACTGTATGTGATCTCCCTTGTGGCCAAAGTGTGCCATTGCACTGCTGAACTGAAGATGACCAACAAGGCAACAGCCCAGACCCAGAGAAAGATCTGCTCTATGCAACACCAGCTGAGCGAGCACCTGATGGCAAAGATTTTGAACCAGGCTCAAAGCTATTATCATTTTCATCTGTTGGACTGGTATTATGCGACTTTATTAAAAGGTGACACTTTTTCAGGCAACCAAGTAACCACTTAGACTGATAATATGTAGTCACTCTATTCATGTAATGCCAATTAAACGTGGTTTTCTTAACATGTTTATTCCAAATGTAGCCCAGTAGGCTATTTATAAGGTATGCCTAATACACAGCCAGGATATTTATTTACTAGCTCTGTCGCCTGTAGGCTACAGTACATTTATTGTGAAAAGTCATGATTTATAGTAGCCAAAGAGTTCTTTGGAGTAGCTACACAAGCCTATTAGATGGAAGATTGTTTAAAAAGAATGTAACTGGAATAGGTAGCTATAAATTTGTTAAGATAACCAGATGTCATTTCAATAGTTTTGCATGGCTACAGAATGTAAAATAAAAAGTTCTCTTTCAAAGGTGGAAAGATAGCCCACTTCATATTCAGATCTGAACCTGTTGTACTGTAGAAGAGCAAGAGGTCTGACTCTACTGTCCTTGGTATAGTTCAACCACTACAAAATGACGGACACGCTACATAGTGCACTATACTGTATAGTGAGCAGGGAGAGATTTCGCACACAGCCAGTCTGTCTTTGTGAAACTGGCCCCTGGCTGTGGAGCATAGACTGCCACCATTCACTATGTAAGATGTGTTATATTACCATCACCATGGTGATTATTACATCCATCTTTGTCCACAGGGTGGTGCTGTTGGACCAACTAACGCTATTCTAGGACAAGTGCGTATCCGCCCATGGTCACAGTGAGCTACGTTCAAAACCCTGCAAAACGCACGACAATGAACAAACTTGAACGCAATTAAGTCAAATTAGTTTAGATGTTAAATGGAACCACATATTTTTGATTAATTAAATATGTACATCAGTACTGTGTGTTGATTGCTGATGTGATTTGGTTATTTTGTGTTTATGGCATGCTAGCAAAAAGTCAGTGTTCTTTCATTAGCTTAATGTCATTGAACATACCCTGGCAGATTATTCAGCCAGTTCAACAGCGAGCAAAGCAAACTCAGAGGGATAATATTTGTCTTAGACGTATTATTTTAAAACAGCTGCTCCAAATGCCAAGGCGATTAAATAAGAGGTGTGATGAGAAATAAGTTAGTAGGCGACCTGCTGCAGAGACTAGACTTGTAGTGTAATGGAAACTAACGCTAGCTTTTAGCTACAGTGCCTATGTCACCGTTAGCTAACGGATAGTAAGGCCAACAACATCCGCCTTTGGGTGTAGAAGGTGCTGCTTCTGTTGCCCTAACTATCTAGCCAGTAGTCTGAAACCGGCTAGTGAGGTAGCTAGTCACGTCAAAACAAGTTATTGACATTGTTACGCTGTCTTTTAACTGCCTGGAACAACTCAAGTATGGGGATGTGTCTACCGTGCCTTGGTGGGGCAGCGGACGATGTTGCTGTCACTCCAGAGCCTGTGAGTTAATTTACTACAGCTTTTATTACCAACTCTGTCGCTAGATAAGCCTAAATTACTCATTTGTATCTCAGTATCAAATATAAAGTGGCGCACATGAATTGAATCAACTTAATTGGGAGTAAACAGTATGAGGCCCTACTTGGTAATGCTTGGAAGGCGCTGATTGTAAACACTGGCATGTTCAGTATGCTCCAGGTAAAAACACACTGAAGTGGTCTATTTATGGTGTAGCTAAAAGGTTTCTGTTCTTAACAGGAGACAAGAAGACGACAATTAGCCGAGGCCGCAGAGAAGCGACAGAAAGAGGTAAGTTATGAGTGTGGTTGCTTCAGTTTGCCTGTTTATCAAGTGCTAAAACAGTGGATTCATAACCTTAATTGCAAGATTGTCTGGTACATCCAGCTAAAACTAATCAGTTTTAAGCTTTGCAATAAAACTTGCCTCATTAAGATATGATTTATAGTTTGTAACGTTGAATTGTGTTGTTACACTTTTCTATTACCTTTATGAAAAACAGACACACTACAGCTTCCCAATACGACCAAAACTCAACACTTCTCTAAAACAGATTCATCAAATACTGACCATTATAACCTATATGAAGATAGGGTATAATGCAAGTTGTATCGGTCTACATTCGTTTTTGACAGGTGTACCTATTATTTTGACTGCAATGTAACGTTACAGTCACAGTGTGGTGAGTAATTTTTTATTGTACAGAAAAGCCACTTGCAAACCCGTAAGAGCCATGCTAAAGCTGTGTCAAGGTAAGTCGACATGGCGCAGAATGAAAACTCTTCTTGGCCAAGTGAATCTTTCGGTTTGGCTAATGTTTTAACTGGCACATCTTTCTGCTCTAAGTCACTGTTTCCAGCTTGCATCTCCTGACAATTCACACTTTTACTATCGCAGAAAAAAGCCCCAAAGCCTAACACACACACAGTCACCTTTCAGACAGCAGTACAGCACTGTACAAAGCAACTATAGCTGAATTACTTTATTTGGTAGTTTAATGTCCTTTTGTTATGATTAATTCTTCTTGGTGCTTTTTGAAAAGATTGTGGTAAATTGTTAAAATGGTTTGGAAACACGTGCATGATTTTAAGATGGCGTGTACAGATTTTTAACAGATAAAAATACGATACCTATACTTTTTAACAATGAAGCCATTAGCACTTGTTCTTACTCCATTTTGTTTTTCAGACAACATACAGGGGTGTTAAAAATCCAGAAGCAGTTGAAAGGAAAAGGAAAAAACAGGAAGAGGCTGAGAAACAAGCGATGACCTCCTCTGTGTCAGGTGGTGGTGGGTTGAAGGTTAGTGTGAAGGTTTTCCTGAAGTACCTGGGGTGTCACAAATGTTATTGCTGATGGCCAGTGCAAATAATTATCTGAACAATCTTTATCCCGCCTTTCAGAATAGCTGGATATATTTACAAAAGAATTTATGTGGTTAAGCCAGTAACTTCAGTGATAATGTAACAGTATGGTAGTGATTACTACTGCTAAAAAATAGAAACAATTGCTGGTATTATAGACTGTCATGCATCTTAAACATAGTAAGAGATAACATTGAAGTATTGTGCTAACCAAAAACTTGAGAAAACAAAGAATAAGAGGCATTTAAATAATATATCAACCAGCTCTGTTTTTGGAAACTGTACGTTGTTGTAATATTTTTTGCCCATTTGTTTTTTTTCTGCAGTGGCAGGTGGGCTGAGAACCCTGATGGTGGAACCCGATGTCTTGTTTTAAAACCAAAACAACATGAAATATTGCTGCAAGTTCCCAATTCATGCTAAACAATCTGAAGTGATTAAAGACAGAACAGCAGGACTAACCCCCATGTTGCCAAAACATACAAGCCAGCTTGAACTGTTGGACAAGTCAAGGATGACAAAAATGTGCTATCTTTGTTGACTGTTCTCATATTAAGACAGAGCTGTCTTCACAAGCTTCACCACTGCACCTTTCATGTTGGTTTTCATAGATGAGGATACATATTCACTGTATATCCACCAGTGGCCACATTTCGTTTTGCATGACTTCTTCAAAAATCCATTATGTAAATGACACCTCACAAGTTGACCATAATTTATGTTTATGAATTTGTGTTTTTGTTTTTTTTTAAGGATTTTACAGTAATAGACACCCACTCATTTCACCTTGCTGAGGGCAACACAGTCTTGTGCAAACAGTGTTATAACTAGTTGGTATTTACTGAGCTTGTAATACACTTTGCCTGTCCTGGGGAAATTTTCATGACCAGTGCAGTTTAGGAGTCCCTTGTTGATGGGGAAGGCAAAGCCGGGGTGTGGTGTTCTGGTGAAAAATGCATCTATGATATTGTACTAGGAAAATATGTTTGAAAACCCAGTTTATATTCTGCACAACATTTAAATTAGGCGATTCTTTGTCAGGGCAAACTACAATCATGACAAAGTGTTCAGTAGGGTCCAAATCATGTGAAATAACACATTGTGAAACCAGTAAAAGCAAAAATTAGGTGTGCTAGCATACACCTTTCATTGACCTTGTGCACATGACCTTTTGTACTTTACACTGGTTTTTGTTGTTGCTCCATTAATAATGTTGTCTGCACAGTTTGAATGTGTTTTATTGAAATGTGTTTAAAACACTAATGTGATGCCTGCTTAATTTGAAATGAGATATGAAGTGTTTATGAGTTGCCGTATGATAGAATTTTATGAAACACCTGTTTGCACAGTTTGTCAATATTTGAAGATCAGCAAATATGCTTGCTTACATTATGTTGTGAAGGGTTAATATTAACTACAGTGGAACCAAAAGCTGAAGGAAAAGAATTGAATTGTATGTGTGTGGTGAAATATTTGGCTTGCTTAGCTGTGTGCTCTTCCTAAGGCCTGCACTTAACCCTTAAATGCCATTTGCTACAATAAATCATTTCTTCTACTCTTTTGTAGACTTTACGTGTGGAATTAGATTTACAGAAAGATCCAAGTTCACATTAGATTGAGGTTTAGATGATCAATAATGATACTGTATGTGCAACATACTACAGTTGAGATTTATGCTTGCTATCATATTTTTGCACTTGTATATTTTATTAGGTTTCAGTGATGCAGACTAAACTCTTCAGGTCATAGTTTTGATGTTTAGTCTCTAAGCTTAATTTGTGATCAAAGAAAAGGCTGATCCAATAGTGCTTAGAATATCATGCGAAGACAATTTACATCTAAAAACAAAACCTGGACTTATTTACTCCACATACAAGCCTATGGTTTACATTATATAGCCACTAAATTCATAAGAGTACCACATATTAAGTTTTTAAAGGAAAAAGTTGGACAAATATAGTGATAATGTTATGAATTATATCTCGCAATTGTAAGAAACTTAAATTATTACTCATATTTCAAGGATTGTACTACCTCTAGAGGTCAGTAACATACAAGAGGAAGAATTACAAACCTTAAATGAGTAAATGTACTGAATTATTAAGATTCTATTTAAGTGATTACAATGTAAATGATATAAAACAGGATATCCTAATATATAATAGTAGTATGTACATGAAAACAATTGAACATTTTATTAGCCTAATAAAAATAAAAGATAAATCAAATGTTTGGCTTCTAGGAGCAGTTTTTACAAGACTACTACACAGTGGATTGTCATGTAAAGATTTGGTTAATTACATTTCTTTGGGGTGTAAGTTACCCTAAAGTTCAGTTTATGGTTTGAGTGTGGTGCACACTAGAGTCACCTGTGTACTCAGTGTACTGTAAGACATTTAGGATAACAATCAACCAAATGGCAAATTTTACAGAGGGAAAAACAATAATCACCATGGTAGAAAAATGTCTGCCATCACACAAATACAACAAGAAATCCATACCAGGTTGCCAAGGAATACTGGCTTCTCCACCACTTACATAATGTCATTCAGAGTTTTGTTTTTAACATACACAGTACATAAACAGACAGGTCAACGATTTTAAAGGAGCTAAACTCTAAAAATATTCTACCAACTACAGCTACTTAAAACACAACTAGTGACTGAAAAACCTTAAAGAAAAATGTACAGCTTCACTTTTATCCAGTTCACCCATTATATTGTAATGATTAACACATATTTCAAACTAAATAAAATGCAAAGTAATAGACCTACTAGTGTGACTCTGGGCTTTATGTGATCACAAACATCCACGTGACTGAACAGACCAAGAGAACAAAACCCAGCATCACTATTACACTGAGCTTTCCATGAATGACTTTGTATCTGTAGCCACAATATTTATTTAGTAAAAAATATGCTAGATAACCACATCCACTAAGTATGGAGCAAACAACAGAAAGCAGTCATCCTCTGTGTCCTTTTTTAATGGCACTTTTCAGTCTCCTGTCTTCACTTTTTGCTGCGATAGTGTGCTGCCACCACCAGATAGCTGTCAGGGGTGAGGTCTTTGATGTTTGGGGACTTGCTGCTGATAGGGGATATCTTGCCCTCCACTCGGGAGATTTGGAGCATACGACAGGGGTCATGTTTCAGAAGATAGCTTTCAAAGGTCTCCCAGCCTCCACCAACACGAACCATCACGTGCTTGTTGTGCAGCATCTGCAAAAACAAATAGGATTATGGCGTCTATTTTAGTTCGGTGTGTCAAAGAAGAGCTTTAAATGATTACTGCTGAGCCCTTCTCTCTATAGGAGGAATGTCATCTCCCTGATTGAGACTTTGGTTTGAAGATTAATGAACAGTCAAGCAAGGCTTTGATGTTAGAGCTTTGTTTGATCACAAACCAAAGTGCTGAACATGTTGATGGATGTGGAGGCCTGAGATCCCTGGAGGGAAGCTTTGTCCCTCTCCTACCAGCCTAAGGTCTTAGTGAGCAGACTGCTGACAGAAACAGGACTGGTGGAGCCATGTCACGTTTTGAGTCCTGCAATTATGTAATAAACAAGACCAAGACTCTCCAGCCCTGCTTGCAATTCTATAAGACTGTATTCAGGCACAGCAACACTTTTGAGTTGAATGCTAATATTAGCATGCTAATATGCTCACAATGCCAATGTAAGTAAGTGTAATGTTTGACCATGTTCACTATCTTTAGTGTAGCATGTTAGCATGCTATCATTTTCCTAAATAACACAAATCATAAATGCATCTGAGAATGCTGGAAACATTATTAGTTTTGCAGGTATTTGATCACAAACCAAAGTGCTGAACATATTAAATATTTGACCTGATGATGGTACAAAAGAACTGTTTGGAATGACCAACAAATCATCCCAAGAGGGACCATGAAAGTTTGTATCAAAATTTATGGTAATCCATCCAATATTTGATAAGCTATTTTCTTCCAAATGGTATATCAGGTGATCACTAAAGTCAGCAGGATTAATCTTCTGGGGAATATGAATGCATGGCCAAATGTATCTGCAATCCATCCATCATCATAGTTGTCACTTTGCAAGGCTGCACAAGTCATTAAAAATACTAGTTACTAATAAATTCTGCTTTTCGCTACAGAAAACAATGGATCTTACTCAACCATTTGGAACAATAGTATTTGAAGCTACATGTGTCACGTGACCTGCTGCTATTTTTGACCCCTCAATGTCACAACTCTTAACAGCTCTGCTTTAAAGTAACCCAATCAGTGGCTGAGCTGTTCAGATATTTCAAATTGGAACAAAGTGGTGGACAAACCGACAATGTCATTCCCAGATCATTGTTGCTAGTGTGGCTGAAAATACTCGGCTATTAACCGTATCATCACAAAAATGGACCAAACTTTCTGTGCTCTGCTGTATTGACTTGTATGCAGTAATTTTATTTATTCAACACTCGCTTCAAAATGATGCCACTTGCCAAATCGGGCACATTCTCAAGGTCGGCTACCATGACAACATCGTTATAATAAAAAGAAGAAGAAATAAAAGGCTCTGTTGTACTGGATTCTCAAACACTTGCATTCCCCAGAGACTGTGCACATAAAACATGTCCACCTCACTACAGATGCCTTATCACCACCCCCACCTCATTAACACATCATTACACCTCTACTAAAACATGCCCATTTACCGAATGCTCTTCTCAGAAAACGAGTAAATAAACAGGCGTTTATAGAGGCTATTAGGATGCTATATTTGACAAACAGTAGAAGAATGATTAAGATAAATACCAAGCTAAATTGTCTGCTAAAAAGGGTAGAGTACCTTATGAGACTGTTACCTCAGTCTTGCCAGATATGAGCTTTTTTGCCCTCCAGCAGCATAACATGCAACATTTATAAGACTCTTTAAAAAAATCAGTCTATAGAGCAGTGGTGGGGCAGTGCTTCCAATCACCAGCGCTAGGCCTTCAGGCTTTGTGACTGCAGATTTAATGGACCTGTGTGATGCATTGGGGTTTCAATCACACTGCTTTGGGACGAGACCCTTACCGGAGCGAAGTCCCTGCTCAGCAGCCCAGAGAAGGGCAGAGGCCTGGGGCTGAGCCGGGACAGCACTTTTCACAAACTCTGTCATGTTACTCTGCCCCTTGTTGAAACTAAAATCACCTCATTTATTACAGGAGCTGAGAAGGTCAGCCTCTCGGGTGCAGCAGATTATTGTGAAGTTGACTCATACAGTATGTGCTGTATGCCACTGTTGTCCTTTCTCAGATGCCTACAGACAGTGACTGGCCTTACTGTATTCATGACTTTTCAGTGGAACACTGAGCTTTTAATTGTTTGTCCTTGGTTGCTCAGCAACACACTAAAGACTGAAGCATTCAGTTATCAAAAATGGCATAAATGATGATAATTATTGATTTATGCAATATCTCATTTTATTCTAACAGGAAATACTCTTGTCTTACAAATGACTCTTTTTGTCTTTACTAATATTTCAAAACAAATTTGTTCATCCAAACCTTACAATGATTGAAATTTGGTTGGGATCTTAAATCAGGAGTTGCAATATAATATGCTGACAGCAGAGGGCATCCAAGAGTAAACCTCTCTTTTGCAAGCCTGCACATCCCAAACAACAGTATGAATCACATTCTTGGAGGTGTGAATCCTGGTTGTGGGTTGCCAGGTAACTAGATCCCAAGGGGACCAAGCTTCTTCTCTAATCTCTGTTAGCATCCATTTATCTCTCTCCAATAACCTGTGTTCCTCCACTCAGAGAAAGTTGAGTAACATTTCCTGTGTTGATTGTTTCAATTTTATTATATGATAATTAATGCAACAACCAGTTTTGGGTGATACAACTCAGTAGAATATTACATAATAATACATCTCAAATGTAGTATCAACATTTTGCCATATGCCATATGCTGTATTGCTGTTACCAGTTAATTAGCAGAACATATTTTGATGAATAAAGTAATGCATAGTTGTTCTATAAGCTATTGTATGAAGTACAATTATAGAAGAAGTATTGAGATTCTTTTAAGTAAATGTAGCTACAGCCTAAATGTAAAAGTACTATATCGTGAAAAAAAGTCCCACAGTCAAAAATATTCAGTATGTCTAAACAAGTAATGTAATAAACTTACCCGGATAAAGAGCACCTTCTCCCCTACACGGTATCTACCCTGTGACTGTCTCTCCACACAGAACTTATTCTGACACCTGCATGGTGGATCATTAGCAATATGTCTCACCTGTAGCACACACAAAGATAGAGATGTGACAGGTTCTGATATCAAGTGCAGACAAACAACAGAGGTGAACTATGCTGACTTACAGCATCATCCAGGAGCTTCCCTGTACTTTTCTTGCTGGAAGTGACTTTGGTAGGAGTTGGGGATGGGGAAGAGGGAGATGGAGGGAGATACTGAGCTGGGGATACAGGTGAAGAAGGAGGTAGAGGTGCTTTCTCTTCTTGTTCAATCTCTTTCTCGAGCTTTATAAGGCCAGGAGGCTCCACATTGTACCTAGAGCAAGGAATCAAGGAGTAATGTCATTCTGTAAGTGCAGAATTAAGAAAAGATCCACAAACTGATCCAGGTCTATGGGAAAACAGTCACAGATAAACATAGAGGAAATATGAAAAAGCAAAATCATACCGCGATGCTATGCGTCCCAACTCTAAAAGACAGATGCACACTTCTCGTGGCTGCTTGTGAAGAACTACAGGAAGAGATCATGTTTTAGCACTGGGTAATTAGGGTGTATAGATATTGTCTGGTATCTGTAAAAAGGCAATGAATGAGACTGAGCGATGGAAAAGACAATGGTAAGATGCAGAGCAAATAAGCTCATGAACCTGAACATAAAACATGCATCCTCTCCTCTGAAATCCCATGTGTCCCAGATCAAATGAACATGACTCATGTTTAAACTTGGAATGTAGCATAAGGCTTGAGGTGTTTATTTTAACCTCAGTGAATATATGATCACAATATGAGGGTGGATACAAGATGCAATACACGTGACACAACACGCCATGCTTATTAACATGAAGAGCCACTGCATAATAGCAAACCTGGTGTTGTTAATCTACTGCTGAACTGATAAATCCATCCAGAAAAGAAAGGAAGGAAGAAAGAAAGAAAGGGAAGGACAGAAAGAAGAAAACATTTGTCAGCTTTTTTCTAACATTTTTACATCTTACATAACAATTACATGTCCACTGCATTTGAATTCGACTGCAGTGTGGTTATCTTTGTGTGTGTGTGTGTGTGTGTGTGTGTGTGTGTGCATGATTTGGCTTGCACAGTTTAAAGTGCTCAGCTGTGGTCAGTAAGGCATTCATCAGAAATCGCAATTATGTATAAATATTTTTGGTATTTCTGTTAAAGGCAGGGTCACATAGTGTGCATCTGATATTTCAGTCCAGGCATATTTCGACTGCAAACATATTTTAGTAACATGCAGTACATCCTTGCAATAGATTACAGAGACACAGATAACACACTGTGCCTGTTCATAAAGAAGACAGCTAAATATCTTGTCTCCAGGCTGAGGAAGACACTTACATAGCATTGGCCTACTTTCCCACTAAGTCATACCCTTCTGACTGTGCTCCTGTTGTTTGACTCCAGACATTTTGTGCATAAGCACAGTACTGTGAGCCACGTGCTTTTTGCTAGGTAGAGCTGTTCCTAGCAGATTCCTGCCCTTGTGAGCTTTGTGTGGGCAGAAGCAAAACCTTGGAAAAGTAAATCATTTGAGTCACAGATGGGAGATGAGGGAAGCAGCACAACCTGTGTCATACCCTACCTGCACATTCAAGCTATTCACAGGAGATGAGTTCAGTGCCAGCGACAGCCAAAGGCCAACAGCGTTTTATCACTATGAGGAAACTGCAGTCTGTTCATGTATCCTGTTTATTCATTCTGATGACTGTGGAAAAGAAAAGCAGACTCACCTAAACCCTCTGACTCAAATAAACATGTTTCTCCAACTCCAACCTCACGACACCAAGCCAGGAAGTTAGCCGTGTTGTCCCGTGCAAAGAAAGAGCCGGAGGGAGCGCTCTGCCGACACGGTATCCTTCGATAGGGAACACTCTGCTACAGACATAGAGAGGTTAGTAGATGTCTTCATGTACACCATTCAGAAATGAACCTGAGGTCCATCCACTAACTTTCATTGAACATTATCTTTTACTTTGTGTTTGGCAAAGAAAAAATGCACGTTTACCAGGGTGACTTGTCCAGGCCAGCCCTAGAGTTTCCCTCAAAACATTTTTATCTGAGCAGATTTCTTCTGCATCTACTCAGACTCTCGTCTCAGCTCAGGATTGTAGACCATTTCCATACAGATCAATAATGGAGGTGGTGGGTTAGAAAACCAGGGCTACTTTACGAGGCCATCTATGACTTAGGATCAAATGACATGCTTATGGTCTGTTCAGTGAGATTTATGTGCCTGCTGTGGTTTTATACAGGATATGTGCCTCTGCGCTATGAGAAAGGTGCAATGAGCTCATGCTGGAAATATGCAGGCTTTGTGGGTATTTTCTTTTCTTTCCAGGCTCTCCTTGTGACTTCTGGGATCCTTTCTGTTGTTGAATTACTTTACTGGAGAAATAATGTCAACCACATTGCCGGTGTCGTTTGATCTAACAGTCAGTATGACATGTTATTATTTCTGCGGTGACTTGGTAAATTATCTGCACCTTTACTTGTCAAATAATTACACAGAAGGTATAGAGGTTTTGGAAGATATTATGTTTAAATGGACGGGAACTAATAAAAAGCACAGTGTTTTCTTTTGCTCAGAAAGACTTTACACAATGAATAATGCAGACACGCAGCATATGCTCAACACCTCTAGGTTCACAGTTGTGAATGTACACTTAAAGGAACAGCTCAACTTTTGTGTTTGAGAAGGAGAACAGTGGATCACCTGCTTTCTGACAGACAGGAAGCAGCAGGTGAGGCTGGGGAAAACCACATCCAGCACCTGGACTATCAGCACAGGCGCCCAACATAGATGTGCGCTTTCCCCACTACTGTTTTCCCTCTACACCAGCGACTGCACCTCAGACGACCCCTCTGTTAAACTCCTGAAGTTCGCAGATGACACAACGGTCATTGGTCTCATCCAAGACGGTGATGAGTCGCCTACAGATGGGAGGTTGAACAGCTGGGTCTGTGGTACTGTCGCAGCACTCTGGAGCCGAACACGCTCAAAACAGTGGAGATGACAGTGATTTCTCTATTGCTGTAATACCTCTATGTCCTTGATTTCAAGAATTTCCTCACATCTGTGCTGCTACACACACACACTGGGATCAGGAGACCTGCCATCATCAGCACAGTCATCAACAACTCTCACTCAAGAGCCAACAAAAGAGCCCATTGGTTCGTTTCCTCCATCTGAACAGAAACATAACGTAATTAGCTTTGTAACTTTTCTTTAATGAAAAATTTAACTGTAATAAAAACAAAACACTGTATTAAAGTTTTACATTTTGATCTCTCTCTCTTTTTTTATTTCTACAAACCACCAATTAAAAATGAAGGGCAATATTTGTACAGGTGCAGCAGGTAAAAAGAAACAGAAGAATGTCTGTTACTACTGAGCGCACAGTTCTTTTTGAAGTGTATGCAGTTTGTATTTGCTGTGTTTGGTTTGGATACACTCTACAAACACATGCGTTTCATTTGAAGCCAGTAACTCCCTCATTGTATACTGTTTGTCGAAGATTTGGACGTAGTTTCCTCTTCTCCGAGGTGTTTCTATAGGCTCCTCTGGGTGCTGTTTGTACACTAGGCGTTTCCAATGCGATAGTGAACACATGCCCAGTACAGACACGAGCTTCACACGAGGTGCACGTGAGATAGCTACGCTCTGCACACGCTACACCTTTGGCCTGTGCCACTGGGGGTGCGGCATGAGCTGTCGTGTTTATAAATGTGATCAACACAAAATTGGAAACCTCAGAGTGATCACGCTGAAAACCAGTCACTTCCAATCTCCACAGATCGATACTTTTAATCTTATACAATTAACTAAATCTGTCAAGGAATCAACATTTAACTTCTGCTAATTCTTTCAGGGGATGTGGGGCCCCATCAGTTAATGTGTCTTTGCCAGCCTTATTTTTTCTTTTTTGCCTTGCTGAACACTGCAGGCCCCCTTCCCCCATCCCACCCTTTGTGCACTGCTTTCTTAAATTGCAAAGTAGGGATTCATAGTATCGACTGAGCTGACAAAACCTATAAGAACAGCTTTTATTGACTGATTGAGAGGGAAACCTATATTAGAGTGTAGCTGTTTCTTGTCTCAGTGAGAGTTAGTAAAACATCAATACCGTTGCCTTTAAGCCATTTGGTGCCAATAAATTATAGAGAAAAATGTTATTTCATCAGATAAAACAATCATATAAATGTGGAGCTACATTATAAACACACAAACATGTATTACTAAGTCTGGGTTTCACATTTCTAATCATGCAAGAGAGCTGTTGAAACAGTTGAGGCCAAAGTGATTGTTAGTCGGTCTGATCCAATCTTTCAGTACTATTTGCTGATGTTTCCCCTCTCAGAAATAATATCCTGTCAAGTCATTCAAGCTTAAAGTTAGTTTAGGAAACCTTTCAGCCAAGATTTGGCATCCAGATTAGTGTTTTCACTGTAACTGTTATCATGCTAGACTGCTGTAATCCCCAGACTACTGTAATCCTCAGCTTTCTCTGTACCTTGCTGTTGCCAAGGGCAGGCGTGTCTCCATTACTTTGCCTGAACTTCTCCTGTAGTGTCTCAGCCAGCTGGCACAACAGAAAGCCATTGTCTAAGCGATCCATGAAGCTCTCAGCGGTGATTTCCAGACCTGAGCAGGGGACACACAAAGAAAGCAAATAATTCAGGATCATGAAAATGTTCATTTACACAACAAGAACATAAAACATAATCATCAGTCTACTCTCAGATGAAACCGATCCTGATGCGACATTGTTGAATCTCAAACTTCTCGGCTGCTTGGTCTGGGCTTGTGCTCCTGGGTTTAGAGAGCTCAGAATAAGCCAAATGTTCAAATATTACAACATGATTAGGGGGAATTTTCTGGTAGTATATGCCGTGGGACGGAAACCTCACAAAAGGCGGCACAGTAGTGCCTCATTATCCTGCAGAGATTGGTGATCAATGTGGTGTCCAGTTGACTTCCAAAGGACCATTCTTTCTTAGTTACATCATTGTGAAATAGGAGGTGGTGGCAGGGGGATGACTGTGGAAAGAAACTTGAGACTTTTTTTTTAAATCGCCGTTCTGTTTCTTATAGGAGGAGGGGTCTTGGGGTTCAATGTTTAATGAGTTCCAAATGTTGCAACTGGGCCCAGAAAGGAGAGACTGAAATCTTGTGAAGTCCCCCTCTTGTGCTCAAACTCTCCTGTGCTCATCTCTGTTTAAAGAAAATATATTTTTCATAGAGACATTTAAACTTCTATAAATTTCTCAGTTCTTCTGACCTCACATCACAACAACAACATGACTCATCGGTAACGCCAAGCATCCGCCTCTCACTCAGTCAGTGGACTCACGCTTGCACCGCCTCCTTCCACCTGAAACCTTAAACCCTGCTCAGTGTATCGGTATACTCAGCACATAGAACACATCTTAAACTAACAAACCGGTTAAATGCTGTGTATTTACCGATAACTCATGGACCCTTGTACTTGTGATGTCTTTATGTCCTTGATGTCTCACCACAAAAGAGCAGAGGTTTCTAGCTCAGCTGGTTCCAATGCAAACACACACACACTGCCAGAGATAACAGGGAAGACACGGAAATTAAGTTGTTTACACACAGGCAGGAGTCAGTTTTAGGAACTTAATTGGCCTCCATTGGTTTGACAAATGTCTGTTGGACTGTGTAAAGTCCCAGTCATTAGGTGAACAGATTTAAACCATGTTAAAGTCTCTACAGTCTTAAAAACAATCTTAAAATGATGGTGAATCATTGGTTAACAGACAGACCTCTTGGAAATTAGGCAGATAGTTGCTGAATTCTTACATTGTAACCTCTGCTGGAGGAATTTTAAGAATTTATATTTTGCTAACAAGAACACTTTTGTGTTGGTCTGGGTGGTCACTGGTTTCTCTGGTTTCATATTTTGTGTGTGAATATGAAGCAATGTCTAACTCTGAGACCATTTCCTCAAAACCCATGGAAATTAAATATCAGAAAAGTAAATAATCCATACTCAGTCTGGGTTCACCTGAGCCTCAACTTTCTTAAAAGATACCCAAGAGTTGATCTGTGTTCAACTGAAGTCATTAAATTCAAATCATCTCCAGGGAATGCTTCATGCATTTGTTGTGTGAAGAAGTACGCTGCACAGGGTGATCTATTATGCAATAGTAAATGTGCACAAAGCTTCTGCTGATGGTCCCTTCGCTGCTCATTCTCATACCAATGGCTGTGCATTATTCAAGAACCGTTAACGATTCTCATTATTCAATTACGGTGAATCTATGGGAGACTATGTGAACTGCAAGAAAACACATTCCGATAACTTTAAAACAGCTTGTAATGAGGTTCCGAGTGACTCTAGTCCTCATATGTCAGCAAAGGTTGCAAAGTTAATGTGAAAAATAAGAAAAGCCATGCAATTCTGAGGGCAGCATTTAATTAAATAAATAACTGTCATAGACGGCACCTTACATTTGGTAGCAGTTTTGTTGCCATAAGGCTTTATAATGCAAAATAATACTACTTGATATGTCTGTTTATGTGTATTCAAATAACTCTTTATGATTATAACAACAGATTAAAATATACATTTCAACAAGCTGTATAAACCCACTTTGGCTGGGTAAATTAACTACACATTACTAACTGGACCACGCTTAGAAAACATGACTACATAAACTACATCATAACTTTTATGTTGGCCTGAGTGTTGCCTACCAAGAATATTAGTTAGCCACAGGGCCAGGTCCTCCTTCATGGGCAGCAGGCTGGCTTCATGTCGACTGGCCAGCCACTGGTGATACTGCTGCATGTCTGCGAGCCCGGGGCCACTGGGCTGTTTGGGGCTCAGGAAGCTGCACATGGTTCCCTGTGGACAGCCTGAAGGAGAAGAGGATAAAGAGAAAACCCATAAAGTCTGCTCAGACTATATGTAGAAACTCCAATTTATGTATGTAAATCTATATCAATACACTTTAACAGTGTACAGATGAGGTCACTGAGGGGTTCATTCAACTCCGTGAATTTTTTTGAGGCCAGATTTTGTTGTTATGTTGGTTTAAATTACACTGCTTCATTGTGTGTGAGTATTGGTCTATATGTGCCTGTATAAATACATGTTCAGTGTGTGTGTAGTTGTGTGTATGTAGCTACTTTAGGACCTGATGGAGATGCATATGTACTGCATTGTAAAAGTATAATACATACATATCAGTGTTTTTCAATCACAGCTGTGACTCAGGGTCATTATTCCCAAAAGAATTAGTGGAGGATGAATACAAATACAAGTGAATAAAAAGATGAGAGATCTGAGTGTTCCTGCCACCCTGGCCAAGACCTGGTGTGGTTTACAGTCCACCTGATGACATGAGACTCTCTCATGGACTCTGACGGCACAGTTCCTGTCTGCCTCTTTGTTGTATAAGAGACACTTTTATACCAGCCAGCATCACACAGTAGAACTTTTATTCAGCAAACACCAGACACAAACAAAGAGTTCTTTCAGATTACTTTGCCTTCTTTGATGCACTCTATCATACAGTCAGTGCCTTACATCAAGGCCTGATGGAGACAATTCAACTGACATAACTATTAGAAGCAATATTTTAACAGCTGCTTACTGCAGAAGTCAATTAAATTAGACATTTCTTGTTGTCTTTTCCAAAATCATGTTATAGTATGCCAAGCATTCACTGCATGAGTGTTAATGTGAAAATCATCAGCCTGGTGTGACTCTGTCTATTGCTGAGAAGAGTGCGTAACTGACAAAACAACTGGGCACCAGATGTAAGACCTGAGCAGAGCAATGACACACATCAACAGCTCTGCGGTTAATGTTCACAACATAAAAGTACAGGTGCCGCAATTACTGCCCCCGAAGTACACACTGATATGGAAAGACTGTGCTGCAGACAGAGAGGTGACAACCCCAAAATGCAAGGATGGTGGCATCACAAGGATACTGAAAACATTTTCTATTCAAGGTTTACATTACTCCAAAGGATGCTGTAGCCATGTAATCAAGTAACTTTATAAATGAAAGAGGAAATGAAATGCAGATTTTACATCAAGCAGGAACATTTTACACATATTTACAATGGTAGGCAAATAGCAACGGGATTTTTGACGGAAATTACAGTACAAGGAGAGCAATTCATGCCATGAACAACTAGTTAATCATGTGTGATGGTTGAAAATTTTGTGAGTTTAGTGAGTGTGTGAGGAATCTGACCTTTAAAGCTGTGTAACATTTCAAGGTTCCTCTGGAGTTGGCTGTAACCAAATCACGCTAAGGTGAAACACTGGACATCGGGACCTTGATGTCAAACCAAGGTCATCATGTCTTTCTAAAAACAAGCACTCCTCATTCCGTGCACACACTAAACTCTGGAGCTCAGCACTGACACACAGGTGCTACATTCCCATGTCCACTGTGGTGCAGGCTGACAGACAGAACAAAGGCACTGAGACAACTTCTCATGTGACAAATCAGTCAATGGGCAATGTAGCAAAACAGGTCTACTTTCTAGCACAAGATGATGTTATCCTTCATATCTTGGATTCATTGTTTATTATAACACTTATCATCACTGTCCAATGAAATGGGTTGAGAAATTTGTCCTAATTCTTAAGTGAAATAAATATGTTCTGCTGCACTTTGTCATTATAAGTCTCGATCTATTTCAAATGTAAAGCCGTATCCTTGTCACTATGATTATGAACACACATCCTTCTGGGCTTCCCTGACATTTTCCCAGGAAAGACTCCTAAAGATACAGCAAGCTACTGTGAAACACTTGATTCTTCTCACCACACTGTAGCCTGACCTAAACTTCAGGCCAAAAAAAGAAAACCATGGCCAACATACCCCTCTGCTCTGCGTGTGCCATCTGCTGAACTTACTGTTATTTTCAGATTCAGGTTCAGACTCTGGCTGTATACAGACTGTAGAAAATATTAAAATATCCAAATATACATTCTCAGTCTGAGAGGCCTTATGGCTTCTGTAAAGCTGTCATAACATGCCACAGTTGGCTGCAGATTGCTCCACCACAGGCATATGGACAGGGATTTCAACTGCTGAATTACATTAAAAAACACAAGAGCGGCTCTGTCCTCCTAACCCCCGCTGCCCTTCATGCTCCTCTACAACAGTAAACTGACCTGGAGGCTGATTTGTCTATTAACACAAGGAAGCTCAGCATGTTTCCACTACAGATAAGCACTGCTGTGACTGAGTGTTGTATTCAGACATGACTGTATCAGTACAAGTGGTCAGTAAAGTACAAAGACTCCCAACAAAAAACATCAACAAAAGCAGCATAATCTCCTGTATGATCTCAGACAAAGAGATACAAAACAGACAATAACCATAAAGCACAACGCTTCTAATATAACCAATAGCATTGTTCTGATTTCACCAGACAAGGAGTGTGTCATAAATCCTCAGATGTGGTCAGGCATTGATTTATTCCAGTGGCCCAATTTTAAAATCTCATAGGTTGACTCATGCCTTTAGATATAAACTCATGTGCTGTAAACATTTTAATAATCAAAAAATAACATTTTAGCCAGACAGTATGCTGAGAATACAGATAAAGATACAGTTTTATTCATGTTGTATATACATATTTTGTTGTTATGTCTGAATTTAAGGCAATAAATTGGTTTGGGCTGTGTTGCAAAACACTCTAACATATTTCTTTTGCAGCTGCAATACGATTTAAAAGCTGTCTCCTACTTTACAACTGTGGCATATAAAAATAGCCACTACAGATATTTCACCACTCTGGAAATAGAATCAAGGGATGAAGCTGATGAGTTATGACTGAAAAACTTCTTAACACCCACTAATTAAAACCAATTAAATATCACAGAGACTCAGAATCTGTGTAATAAATGACCAGCTGAGTTAATTTTGAAAGAAATAAAATAACAATTAGCATCTGTCTGTTGACCATGAAGAAGTAAGCCCCAACTTTTGAACTACATTACTCTGCGTGACCCTCTGGTGAGATGAGCAAGGGGCTATGAAGTACAAGTTATACCCCCCAACCGAAAATATGCATAAAGACATTCAAAGGTCTGACATCCACAATGCAAAAGATGCGAAAATATCTTGCACAGGTCCAAAAAAACCCCTTAACTGTGCTCACCCTTTGGGTTCAGCTCGCTGGTGCGCACCTTCCTCTCGCTCGCTCTCTGGTTTGCTGGATCCCAGTTTTCATGCTTTTCACAGCGGTGCGCCGACCCACAGGTTAGCCTTCAAACCAGTGAACCAATGTGGACCGGGGAAATCTTTCTCACTAGGCTTTTGCACAAGGATATGACTACACACGCGCGCGCGGACGCACGCAGCACGCTGCTGCTGCTGATGGGAGGGAAGTGTGATTCTGCTGCCAGTGCCTCCCTCCTCTCTAGGTTACTCTTTGTGTTGCTTCAGTAGGACATTTCTGGACTGAATTCAGCAGGTCAGCCCGAGAAATTCAATCCTTCCATACAGTTTGGTTTAATGGATTTTTATCCCTCTGTGCCCATGAAATGTGATCCAACTGACAGACCTCACTAGCCAGTCAGGCTACAATTATATTTGCTAAGGACTAAATTCGAATGTCACAATTTTGTAGTTGTAAATAGTCTTGAATGGTAAGTAATTCGTGATAATCATCATGGCAAATACAGAAATTATGAATTGTTAATAGAATGGATGTTTGTTCTCCAGTCTCACAAGTTAGTTGTTTTACTCTGTTAGCCTACTGTATATATAACGCATTGCATAACTGTGTTAATAAACATACATCCAAACGTGTGAGTAGGTTTTGCTTCAAACCTGTTCTGCCATCTGTAGTAGTAGATTATTCGGTGGCTTTTATTTTGAAGGACTGTTTGTTATTGCTCAAGAACGCATGCGCAGTGATAAAAGCGACGCAAACAGGTTGAGAAATGCAGACAGTGGAGTGATCGTAACAACACTAACGTTAACTATATTAATTTTCACTAAATATTCCATTATAAGTGCGTCATTTTCACGCTTGTTTGTAACGCTAGTTGTTACTTAAAAGCATGTTTGTTAAAAAGGATTTTGTTTTGAAGCGTGCCACCGGAAATCGAAACGTTAGCTAAAGTTGTCTGGATCTAGCTAACTCGCCATCTCAATAACGCTACATGTAAGGCAGCAGAGGGCCTTTTGTGTCAGTGCTTAGGTTGTGACTCTCCTCCAGAGCGGGTATCCATCAGCGAAAGCCAGAGGTTGAACAATGAACACAGAGAGCGCCACATGGAGGCGATGCTGAAAAACGTGACGAGCACGGTGGAGCTGCTGGCCGTGGCGGCACAGAGCGGTGCGGTGGAGCAATGGGATAAACAAACTCTGTCCAGAGCGTTTGACTGGGCCCGGTACTGCGAACATGTTTTCTCTAAGTTTCACAATGTCCCCACTGTAAGGAGGATTATGGAGACGCAGCTGCAGCTCACAAATCAGGGTTTGCAAGCTGCCCTCCCCGGATATACAGAAATCTCCTTCTCGGACCTCTCACGGTGCCAGCACCTGTTGCTCGTTGGGCTGCTGAACAATCCTGAGCTGCCCAGCAAGATCATGGAGATACTCTTTGACATCACGAGTAACGGAAACAGTAAGAACTGTGAGTATCCGGATGTTACCGGCCTCTGCAGCCGCATCATTCAGTACAAATCTGCACGTCAAGTTTTGAGTCCTCTCGCAGACCTGTCAGCGGTTGGTGCTGATGCTGCGGTGCAGGGGGTGATGCTGATGGAGAGACTGGGTGCTCTGCTGAGCCAAGGCAGTGAGGTCTGCCAGATAGAGCACTTTTTAGACTCTGTACTACTAGGTTGTGAAGAAGCAGCCCAACATTTCTGTCTGGTCATTGCTGCAGCTCTGCTGACGCCGAAAAATTCAACTGCTTCACATGATTTTCTTCTAGACTGGCTACAGAAAAAAGACAGCATGCTGCAGCACATGTACTCTGCACTGCCTACTCGACTTCTTAAGGACGTGGCCAAAGAACACCTGAAGTTCAGAGATGCATACTGTGATGTACTGAAAAAATGGGCCTCCGAGATGGAGTACAGCATAAACGACAGGGTATGGGTTCAACCCAGCTCTACCACCACAGTGTCCTTCCAGAAACTGACTGAGCACTTTCTATCCTTGTTTGAGGCCTGTCCATCTCTGAAGGAGGATGTAGAGAAGGAGCTAAGTGCTTTGAAGACGTCTGATGGAGACTTTGATGTCAGAGGTCTGAGTGTGTGGGGAGACCTCCTGACAGCATTAAAAAAGTGACTGTCAGGCTAGGGCTTTCGGTAGAGATGGTAAAGATACTGACAAAAGGCACGTCTGTCTGTATACTGATGCAATATATGACTATAGAGCTTGGTATTTTTGATTCCAAAAAAAAGCACCAGTTATTGAAAGCTGCCGGTGACTGAATGTTAGCATCAAGAGCTTGCACAGATTCTTGTTCTTTATTTCTAATTAAACAGATTTTAGTCTATATTTTATTTAGACAAATGTCTTTCATGGATGCTTACTTTATAATTTAAGAACATTGGTTTCTTTTGGTAAATTAAAAATGGTTTCTTAGATAAATATATTTATATTTCAACAGAGGAATGTATCAAAAGTGTTGGGATCAAAACCTGGATCATATCATAAAGTTTCCAGATGGTAACCCTGTGTTTGAATCCTTAGATTTTTCATGCAAAATACACGTTAGAAGCACACAACTCTGCAGCGTTGTCTCGTGTTTTCACAGACAACTTCTGTTTCATTTAAATTCTTGACTCTTTCTGCTACTTTTTTAAACTTATTAACTAGACTACCACAGAAACAGCATATTGGATCAATATATCTAAGGAACAATAATAAAAATGTTAAAATTCTCACTTCTGTGGATCTGAAACACTGAAAATATGCAGCCAAGCCAGATTCCTGGTGGCTGGCACAGTAAAATTAATTTTTCAAATCTAGGCATAAATAGCTGCTGTATGCCTACAGCCTGACACGTGAAGAATAATTTTATTAAAACAAGTCATTCATAATTCATTAATTAAGATTTGACCTGCAGCCTGTGTACGAATAAATTCACAGTATTTAGCGTACATGGCAATTCGTCAACTCGCCATTAAGTTCTCTAGTAAAGTGGGAGGCGACGTTTTTCCACTAAATGAAACCTCCTCAGTAAAGTCCTTCCATTCACCTCTGACGTTTCTTGACAAGTCTTTTACAGATGCCAGCTGGATCAAGTGAGGGTTGGTTTGTGAAACATGCTCCACCGCCGAACAGCAGCAAAGGCCAAGATTAGCGACGTTTTCTGCTGCACCTGCTTCTTCGTTGCAGAAGTCACAGGCTGTGTGGACACCTCTTGGTCTGCCTTGGTCGGTTCTGTCTTTATAAGCCATTTTCTAATATCCATGCTGGCATTTTCCCAGGATAGTTGGCAGCGTCTACGTCCCCACCTTCAAGCTATGACCTGCTGACCTTATGTTGCATTCATGTCACATCGGCGTACCAGTTTTTGAGCTTATGTGGCGTTCACGTTAACATCGTCATTATAATAAAAAAAAGGTCTGTTGTTTAAAGGTAATTAAACTGAAATTTAATAGATACAGTGCTATGGTGAAAGAGCACGTTATTTGAGGTGTGTGTGTGGGGGGGGTGACATAACATTTTAACCATGTGCCTTGTGATATTCAAAATTAATTAATTTTGTCACTGCAATTTGATATTTGTTAAATTGTTCAGTTTACTGGGCTTGAACAAACGACAGCATCACACTGCAATTGCTTGCAGCACATGAACAGACTGAATTTGAATTAGCCAAATTTTCAGGCTGTGAATAGTTTTTTTTTTTTTCAGCGATTCATGTAGCATCATAAATTCCATCTTGCTACCAAATAATTTGATGTGCTGTTTTAAAATCTTTCTATTTTTTTGTTGATTTTCATAGTGTGCCGACCTGTAGACAAAAGAAAGAAGAATATGGCAATAAGGAAGCCAAAGCATTGTGTAATCTAATTTATAACTGTGCACACCTAAAATCATGTTCAGCTTCTCACAGACCATCTGTCAGCATTGCCTCTTCCCCACACAGCTGCCCCTGGTCAGAATCTAAACATTTTGACTGGTTTAATGCCAGCCATGTGACTCGACTGCCAAATCACACATCACCGACCTCACCCGTGTGTCAGAGCACCTCCGCAGCAAGGGATTGGTTAGTCAGATTAAGTGTCTTCAGTCAAACCCTCCACAATAGCTGGTGTGTGACATAACTGGCAGACAGCGGATTAGAGCCCTGGCCATGTGTGGAGGGAAACATCAACACGGCCATGGTTCGTTTAACACACCATGAAAGCAATTCATGTAGAGAAAGACAAGGGTCACTGAGTAAGGGGCAGCTTGTACACAACCAATTTATTTCCAGCCAGTGAAAAACATATGCATCAGGCAGGATGAAAACCAGCATCTCACCTCCTCCTATGTTCTAAATATATGCAGACTCATTTAGTTTGGCTTTTCATCATGTTTATTTGGGTCAGATTTGAGCCACTCAGGTATTCAGTAATGTGAGAAGAAAATTATTCAGTATGGTTTCATTTAAAACAGACACTTTTATTAACAAGGTTTTTCAACCTTTGCATAATCAAGCAGCATGATATCATTGAGCTTTTGGGACTGAACACCGACAGATTCCTTTTTTAGATTTTCAGTTTCTCACTCTTCACAGCCTTACACATAAGTGTCGGAGGGTGAGCAGACATGGTGATGATTCAGATGTGTGACTGAAAAAATTAAAAGAAAAGCAGCACAGCAAAACTTAGTGCTACGTCTATAGAATCTAGGAAACCGTGTTTATAGGCTTTATGGTCAAAGATATTATGGCTGATAAAGTAAATTCCATTGTTGCCAATGCTATTATATCAAACAATCTGTAGTTTCCAGGGAGCTGTGTTATTTAAATATAAACTATTTTCACTTTTGCAGAGGACCCCACTTGTTAAGTATTAAGACCATGCCTCAAATATGAAGCAAAGATATACCAAGCAGTTATTTTGAGTCCTAAAGGTGAGCAATTTGCTCCCCTGCTCTTCACCTGAAAAGCTCAAATCACCTCTAACTGTAGGAAGTTGACGCAGCTCATTTATATATGTAAAACCAACCCATTTAAGTGTGTGACACTTCATAAAATTGGTATCTACATTATAAAACTGTGAAGTCGCTCGAACATAGAATATAGTGGTGTGCACTGTAGTATTTCTGTCCTCTTCTATTTAACACTTCCTGCAAGAAAGAAGCATTTGGTTGTGAAATTACAACTGAGGCATTCTGTATTTTCTCCTCTCACATCTCCTCTCTTGCTTGCATTTACTCTATCCAGTGTAATATTGTTCTGTATCAGCATGAAGCGACAAACTGCAGTGAGACACGCTGTGGGCAACTGCTGTTCTGCGACTTCTAAAGGGCTGTGAAGGATAGCATTCATTAAAACCCAGATCCAGCCCCCATCTGCTGGTGTGAATAGGGAGTCCTCTGGGAGGTGAGGTGGAGGGGGAGAGCGGGGGTTAGAGCCCTCACTTGGCATGTGCCTAAGCTGCTCCAGCCTGGCCCTTGTCTGGCCTCGGTGACGGATCACACAGGCAGGAGGGCCCCTCTGCACACCTGTGTCACACCACTGCACACATGAATTGAGGAACATGCATTGATGTTTTAATTTGGTTTTTCACTAGGATGGTGTAAATATGTGCGATGCTTTTACAGCGTAATATCAAATGTTGGTGCAGCTTGTGAAGAAGAATTTGAAGGATACTCACATTGTCCTGTGCCATAAAAACTGCACTGTCAGACGCTCTAGTGTGGTGCTGCAGAAACATGTTTGTATGTTGGCACATGAAGGGGGGAGAAAACAGCCAGGCAAATGCTTTGCCTTAATTCTGTTTTCCTTCAATCCAGATTTCTCTCAGAGCTAGCAGTGCTTTGTGGGCAACAAGAGTGCCATGTGAAAGCTTATCAGCCTCACATCCTTTGTCTGCATGTCATACAATACAAGCATGTAGTAGAGAGGAGGTTATGAAGGTGTCAGTGTAATGTGATATGGGGGAGGGGAACCAGAACCATCTGTGATAGATCATCTCACATAAAAATGTAGGAAATCGGTTCTGTGGAGGAAAAGAATGGATGTTGCCGTTTCCTTCCTGTTATTGTGGAACATGCAATTCTTGCTCAACATACAGCATGTCTGAAAATGGCATCATCATCATCATCATTACTGTGGGTGACAAATGTTTCAACAGAATTGAAAAGTCAGCACAGATGAAACTAATGATAGCACACAGCTGTTGTTGCTGTTTTGAGCGGAACAAGATGGAGAACATTTACAGTAGATGCTATTAGCATATCACAAAAGGAGGATGTTTGTCTGCGTTCATACTGACTGAAAAACAAGAGATTTAAAAATCATGTAGGGGAGATTCAGTAAATAGTTTGGAAACTGCAATCTTTTTTAAAATATTAATTTCAGTTTGCAGCATTTGTGTGTTGCAGGGGGAGGAGAGTAGCGATATTAACATGTTATTTCATGTGAGACAGATTGATCCGGGGTGCCAAGTTCTCCATTAATAAAGCAATTAGCAAGGGAGAAGAAGGAGGTATGTGTAAATTAAATTGCCCTGAGGTAGTGTAATGTCATGCTGGGGGATGTCATAAAACAGTAATTACTGCAATAATGCTTTAAAGTTTGGGGCTATACTTGATTTGTTAGCATATGAGCTAGTAAGATTTTAGATTCTAAATGAAAGGATATTGAGGCAGGAGTGTGAAGAGATTTCTGTGTAAAATTTGGACTGGAGACCAGACTGGAGAGAGGGGATCAGGAAATAATTGCATGCAGGCAAAGTCCCAAGGGAAGAGTGCAACCTCGTCATCAAACATTCATTCTGGCTGGGCCTCATCCTATTAGAGTCCCCCAGGAGCCAAACTGCACCTGCCCCACAGACTGGCAATACTCAGTCCCCCTTCACTCACTGTCATGATTAGACAACCAAACAAACAGCACCAACAACATCACATTGACAAAACCTGCAAACACAGAGTGTTGAGGTTACAGTCAGGTGAACACTGGGAGAATTTCCTCCTATGAATGAAATGTTGACTTCAAATCTTATCCAGTTATCATGCACACTAACAAGCACGTCACCAGTGCAACAGCCACGACCACTCCGGCTGGTGAAGCCTGAGAAAACATGTTCCACGTAGCTGATGGCATAACTGTGTTTTCTGTCAAATTAATGTTTGCACCAAGGGGCAGGCAGTGGTTTTCAGTCTCTCTCCTCTGCTGGGTGGATAATCAGAAAAAATTTATTGTAATTGCTGCCACTGTTGTGGCTGGAAGTGCTTCAACGCTGAGCTGCATCCTGTGATCGAAGCATCAGTCAACACTTCACGAGGCCACTGTAGACGCGCCACTGCCACTGCACAGTAAATCGATGCAGACTGTCCATCATATGCATAAGCCCCATCAACACCCTAACCCCCACCTGCACAAACCTCACGCCTGTCTATCATCTCCTCTCATGTAATATGTGAGTTGCAGAAGCTTAATTTGCAAGCTGCTACAGAGGTTTTTCCTGCACATATTCACCCTGTACAGGCAGAGGAAATTGGAAAACCTACATTTAATGGCTACCAGTGGGTCACAATGACATCATGCGTAAACCTGGTCAGACCTCTGATGATGGACTCGCACATTAAAAAATGTTGCTCTTAGATTCTTTATCTGCTTCTGATGACTTGCTCCAACCAGCAGAGGTTAAAAGGCACATGAGAGTCAGGATATTTGATTTAGCCAGAGACCCAGTCCTAACTCTCATGCAATCGTTAAAACGTAAACAAACCCAAAGTAACATTTCAATTAATGATGCCAGTTCTGTTACTATTTTTCAATGGATGATGTTATCGCCAAACAGAGTTGTGTCATACTAATGTATTTATTGCTAAAGATAATGTAGTAATTGAACCTTATTCCACTGCTGCACTCATAAGTTATATGACGGATTTAAATAAAATACAAATTAACTGTGCACTCAGTGTAATGACCACAGATCTTACGTGCTATGTGTTACAATGCAATGTTTTTGTTTATTGTTCTTCTAGAGAGCATGAAATACTAAAACATAAAAAGTACAGTAATAATTACAAAATGCACAGGAGCATGAGAGCAGTGAATGCAAATGCTTTTCTTTTACAGTTGATATTTTCCTTGTCCTCAGGTGGGAGATGCTGCTGAGAGGTGTAAGAGGGTCATCACATTTGTATGTACCTACATGACACGTGCGCACATTTGACGCTGCATATGAAGGTTGGGAATCTTTGGGAGGACAGAACATGATCCTGGTTTGTTGGAACGTAATGTGCAGTAGGAGCATTAACGTCGCTGTCCCTCTCTCCTTTTACCAATTACCAAGCTACAGTGTCCAATATCTTCCAGCTGGACTCCAGAGACACACACCATTGATTTACTAATGAGAACTGTGGAGAGAATAGGAGCTGCATGACACAGAGAATTGGAGAATTTAGATAGCAGGTTAGGTAGCCAGGCTCCAGTCTCCGAGGACCTCTGCCCTTCACATCAACAGATGGAGACAACATTTCCACATATATCACACTATAACACATCATCTCACCATGACTAAGAATGACAAAACATGATGTTGGTGTTGTTTTTTAATATAAAATGATATCTGTATTTCATAACACTTTTTGACATCAACATACCTCTTCGTTAAACACAATATTAGAAGCCATAAAATCACATTTATCTCTTTACATAAACTTCAGGCATAAAGCCATAATAGCATCTTTTGGTCATCTTAACCATTCTTAAATAGTCATATATTTTTTGAACATCCTTGCAGATTTCATACAGCAAATGAAGAAACTGTTCAAATAGCAAATAAAATCAGGTGGAAGAACCATCTATTGATTCATGTGGCCCACTCAAACATGACAATATCAAAGTGTCAGTAAAGTACTTTTGGTGACACCGAGAACAACCATCAGACATCAAGAGATCACAAAACCTGGTTGTTCATAAACAGTACTGCATTCCTCGCTGTCAAAACGCAACAATGTCCTGCATCATGAGCACAAAAGCTGGATTCTCCAGACACTAGTAATTTGTTAAAACAGACACCTCACTGTTGATCATCACACGACTCCAAAACAGTTACAGTTAGATACAGCAAGCCAGTGTTATATTACAAAACAGAATAAGATGGGTGACGGCCGGTACACAGAATTTATTGCAGTGCACACCAAACATCAATAAACAATGTCTTCTGAGCAATTGCCTTCAAAACGTTTTTGATTTGTCTCACATCACAGCCAAAACCTGATTATGAAAGTTCAGTTTATTATTCATAATGGCAGAAGATACTCATCTAAGGACAAAGCAGTAGGCTGAATGCACGTGAGGCGACTGCATCTGAAACATTGAGCTGAGCAAATTCATGCAACAAACACACACTAAAACTCTACAGTTCAACTTCACTCACGCTATTTTTGTCTTATAGTGTAATAGAGGCCTCGCTCAAGAAGACCTTTTTTGCAAGCAGACATCTCCCTGAAAAGGTTCTGTCCATGAAAAATATGGCCTTTTATATTAATGTTAACACAGATCAAAGACCCAAAATCCACAAAAGTCTCACAGAAACAGTATACGGGTATATACAGTACATAAAACACACTTGAGAAACAGAATAGTCTTGTTTTTAGAATACTTATAGTTTCAGTGCAATCAGAGTGGTGTTTCAGAGAAAGACCCCGTATGATGGTCAACTGCAGTGTCGTCTGGCTCATGTTGTTCAAGTAGATTGATGAGGTTTTGTGAAGTACAACATAGGTCTGCAGTTTTCTTTGCAACTACTCTCTGTATAGTAAAGCCCTACAACAGGTGCATGTGATGATGAGGAGTCTTCTGCATTGCAATTAACTATTTCTTTACTTTATGAAACTACTTGAACACACAGAATGGATTTAAATATCTAATATATTTGTGCAATCAGTGATGAAGAGTCTGTTTCTGGAAGCAGACTCACCATGACTGTCTGGCTTAGGAGTAGCCTCGCTGGGCGTACATCTTTCCCGCTGGTTCCTGCACATACTCCTCTGTCTTATCCCAGTCCTGTACCCAACCGCCATTGAACTGTGCAGTGGCGCCGTAGCTTTTAGCCGGACCAGCCATTGCACCATAAACCTGTGTGATGTCACCTGTCTCCTCGGCCAGTTCATCCTCATCAATAAAGCCACACTTTTCTTCACTGGTATCCTCAGGGTCTGCCCATGGCTGTTTCTCCCCAGATGCAAAGATTCCGTAAAACACCACGCCCCCGTAATGCACGAGGGAAGCAATGAGGAAGACATACTGCCACTCTTCCCGGGTCTAGGGACAGAAAAGAGTGCTTTCTTAAAATTCTTCATAACCTGTTTTCTCAGGCCGCTCCTTATTATTTGAAGTTTTTCACGTCAGCAATTTATTTATTTGTATTTTTGTCGTTGCTCGTCTCACTGGTTTGTTATGGGCAGAACTAGGTAATGTCACAGATGTCTGAGGATCTCTTAGGGTTTAGAAACTTTTGATTCAAACTCTGGTTATAAAAGTTCCTCTCTGCATGACTCACTGTGTGAACAAGGATGAATGACTCACCTTGTTCTTTGTCATTGCTCCTACTATTATAGGACAGACCATCCCTGACAGGGTCCCCACACCATTGGATATGCCCATGAGGATACTGGCATAGCGAGGAGCGATGTCTAAATGGTTGACATTGAAACCTAGAGCAACAAAGAGAGAATATTCTGAGTCTGGTGTGGAGATGAGGCAGAATTTGAGCTAGAATCCATCGTTTTACAGCTCACCTGATATTGCAAAACCACTAAAACCCACAGCTAGAACTAAGAAAGAGATGGCCATCCCTTTACTGTGAGAATAACCAACCACTAATAAAAGAGTGGCCTCCATACCGAACCCTGAAAACAACAAGATAAGAGTTAATGGGTGCACTGATAAAGATTACAGTATTGTGGTAAGAGACAAAGACCTGACTCACCTCCACAGTTCATGATTTTTCGAACCGAAGTGGTGGACAGGATGTTGTGGGTTCGCAGGTAGTCCGCTAACTGGCCTCCCAAGGGCACGATGATGGTCATGACCAAGTGAGGGAGAGCCGACAGCATTCCAACCTGAGGAACCATCACACACTTGTCTGAAGCAAATGTGACAGCGACAAAAGTGATTCTCCCTGTCTCAGAGCAAATCTCTGTCTGTATGTCAACCTGTGACTCCAGCGTCACCTCAGAGCCGTAATTCAGTGGCAGTAATCACAACATGCCTCCTGAAGCTGCCAAAGCAGCTTGATTCATGCTTCACATTCTCAAAGGGGGGACAAAGGTGATGAAATCTTAAAATTAACTGGATTCTGTTGGTGTGATAACACATTCACTTAGCAGGAAAGAAAAAATGATGTAAACACAACACTTTCTAAAGCAACTATAGCTTATTTTCAAATCTATATAACCTCTTAAACCTGAGTCACTGGATCATTTGCACTCATAGATGGGAGCTTGTCACCAGTTGTGCATATGTAACACTCACTCTGACCACATTCTGCTCTAAATGATAAACTATAACAACAAGAAACACTGTCAAACAGCATAAAACACATTAACACCAGCAACATAGCGGGAACATTCAGAAAATTAAAATGACATCCACGAGCTTGTTGCATTCATCCACTTCTACCTTGAGATGATACAATATAAACTTATACCAATTTTACTCCAATAAGAATTTTAATATATGTCCTTAACTGCTAATTTTGGTTAAAGTTGGAAATAACGTATTTGTCAAACTCTAAAATTAGCATTTTACAAACATATTGTGTTAAAAATATCTTTGGGCTGATGCCAGAGAATTATTTACCTTACTGATTTCAAAGCCAAACACCTCTTCAAAGTATGCAGGCTGGCTGATGAGGAGCAGATAAAAGGTCCAGCTCCTGCAGAAGTTGGCCACTATGATTGCATAGACAGGCATGGAGGTGAAAAACTTCCTCCAGGGGGTCTTGAATTTCTAAAAAAAACAAAAAAAAAAAACAGAAAATCAGCTGGTTGTACTGTGAGAGGGGTTACAAATCAAGGGACACAGATGCAGAGCTCACTTCCATTGCGCCCGTCAGCTGGGCGCTTTCACCGATGCTCTCTTCGATGTAGCGACGCTCCTCCTCGCTGATGGTTGGGTGCTCTGCCGGGCTCTCATAGGACACCAAGATCCAGAACATGTACCAGACTATTCCAAAGGATCCTGAACAGACCGTGACAGGGCTGATGTCAAGAATCAAACACGTTTGTTTGAATCTTAAACTTCACCTAGAGATGGGTCAGTCTTTATAAACTCATGCTGCGCAGCCAAACTTTTCTCAGAACCATCGAACTTAAGTTTCAGTTATAGTGAGAGAGATCCCCAAGTTTTCATAGGTACCAAATAACTTAGTAATGTCACTCACACAGCAACACCTGTTTACAGTTTGCTACCAGTCATTTTAGAGCACATACAACTGGAGCAACAAAACCTCTGAGGAAATGTGTTATTGCTTATAGACTCAACTTTTCATTTTTAAGAATGAGTTTGTGGTATTTCTTCCTCTAAAAGTGTCCATGACAGTGTCACTCACCATACACATAGAAGACAGAGGACCATCCTGTGTCACTCACCATACACATAAGAGGACCATCCTGTGTATACACATAGAAGACAGAGGACCATCCTGTGTACTGGACCAGGATCCCAGCCAGAGGCATGGCTATGACTGCACCAGCATAGGATCCTGAACAAGACAGAACGCTGTGATCAGGCAGAATACGATTGTGGCTGCTCATACACAGCAGTATTGTCCCACTGTTACATGGTTGCAATATTTTGGTATTCTAAACTTTCATTAGTGTATGAGGTAATGTGATGACAACACACAGAACCAGGACTATGTGTGTACCGCAGAAGGAGATGGTCGCCAGACGACTTCTTTCCAGTGGTGGAGCCCATTTACTCCAGATCCCATGGCAGGCTGGATAAGTCACTCCCTGCACAGTGGCACATGACATTAAAGTTTTTGCCAGATAATCTGAACACACACACACACACACACACACACACACACACACACACACAGCATTGTCCACTGGTCAATTTAACTATCTTTAAGATATTTTTCTCAATTTCATGGCTGATAATCTTCCTCTGATTGCAGAAACTGTGTTAAATTCAACAATAAAATTCACATCTATGTTTCAGCCAATAGAATTTACAAAATGTGAAGCCATTCTGCTTGATTGACATGGTCTACTCTTATTTGCCAAATACTTACAAGACAAATTGTAATTAATAACAAACAAACTGACATGCACTGTACAGTACCTGACCTTTCTAATAAAAACTAATGAGTTCGGTGTGAGTCAGTGCAAATTCAGGCTGACATGGAAGAAAAAACTGAATTGCTTCCATTAAATCTTCATTACACACTAAGTGGCATACAATCAACTATTGATAGACACAAATTGCTGGAGCTTGCAGTGGGAGACACCCTGAAATGCTAATGTTTAATTTGCAGTAATAAGTCGATGGGTGCTGAGCACAGGCTCTCTCTCAATGGTCATGAGCCGCTATTGAAACGACAGTCTGCGGCTAAACAAAATAACAAAAGAGGATGACCTTCAGTTTGATAATAGCATCTCTCTCTCAAATCGTGTCCTTTCTTTTGAGCTGCATGTGGGAGCCGCATGCATCAAGTGGTTTTTAATCTCTTTTGTTCTACAGGCTTCTGTGTGAACATAGAGCTGTTTCAGGCATGCAGGTAAACCAATACACATGAGCCCTGCTATTCAGGGTTTTCTGCTGTTTGCAGATTGATCTGACAATTGTATACAGTAGCCTATGAATGGAGTTTCTTCATAATGGGCTCTAGTCCAAATTCAAAGAGAAAGCCAGCATGCACAGAGGATTTTTGTAAAACCTGAACAGGACAGTTTCACTGGGGGTTTAATTCAGCTCTCAGCTTCACAATGAGGCATCGTTTTTAAGTTTTTTTAAATGTCAAAGTCTGATGTGTAAACTGTGCATCCGTACCTCCACCAATCCTTGTAATATCCTCACAAAGATGACACATCCATAGTGCACCCGGGCAGCAGTGGGAATGAACATGTTCAGGGTGGATGTGAGCACAATGGCAGCCCCAAAAACTCTGAACAAAACAAGCAAGAGCATCATATTATTCAGACATCAGACATATCAGTTTCAGAGATTTAAACAGTTAGCAAGTATAAAGTATCAGAATACATAAAGCAGATAAATTAATGCTAATTGGATGCCACACACACACACACACACACACAGGCACAACAGGCAGTTTTCCAGTTTCCAGGGAAATGAGGACTGGAGGTGTTTGCAGCAGAAGGCGTCAGTGGGCTCAGCTGACTTGGCATGATGAAGCTCTTCATCTCTGCTTCTTATTCAGGCTCAGTTTCTCTCATGAAAAACGCCTTTATCAAAGCTGTAAACGTTCATGTACAAGGACATGCTGTGACCTTATTCTAATTTATTTACCCTTTTAGTATCACTGTTGTATTTTCATGATTTTCTAAAACAGACTAAGTCTTTTTTTTTTCCAGACACATTTTCTGTTCATTTTGTCGAATTGTAGCTGACTAATCAGTTGCTAGGGAAATAATGTGATAGATGAAATCGTATTACAATCATTACCACATTTCACACCGGGCTGTGGTTGTTGCCATGCCTCTGAACATAAAGGATTAGCCACGGTGGTCCCCTGGGAGCTCATTAACATGAGGAGGCACGCCCGGCGGGCATCAGCAAATCTGGGTTTATCTGCTCTGAGGTCAGGCTCCTTTCTTCAAGCCCGAGACACGTTTGACTGACTAGTACACATGTTACACGTAAATTAGAGGGTCCAATAAGGAGCTACGACGAAGAAGTGGGTATTTTATAAATCTCTTTCTTCGTACATCTCTCTAAGAACTATTTGTTCGTAGCTTATTTCAAGACATTGTGAGTGTTTTTACCTATTTGCAGCCAGTCTTGAGGAGATGTACCCTCCTGGAATCTGAGTAACTATGTAGCCCCAGAAGAAGGATCCATGAATCATCCCCACAATCTCTGGGTCCCAGTTGAACTTCGCTTTCTTTCAGGACACACACACACACACACACACACGCACAAAGACATAGCCTATTTTAATTACATTTCAAATTTTCGGGTGTAAAATGTTGACGTAGTTAAAAGTGCAATTAAAATGACTCTAAGTGTGAAAACGATACTGTCAGTGGAAAATATTCACAGAAGAATTTGTGTTTAACTTTATGCATTTTACTTTTTAAGGCCACTAATAAAAGCAAAAAGTGTGCAGATTTTTAGAAAAATTACAAACAAAAATAAAACAAACTAGTTTGGGTTTGCTTGTACTTAATACAATATTTTACCGGTTCACTTTCTTAAACACAAGTAGTCTACTATATATATATATATATTGGCTCTGTTTCTGTGGTCCAGGTGTGTTTAATCCCTAAATCCTTTAGATCAGCCCCTTCACCGGTTACACACGGGGCCTGGTGGAGTCTAACGGGGAGGAGTTCACAGGCACCTCTTTGATGATGATGATGCCGTTTCGATGGGTTGTGCTGTTGTTGACCATGCTGACGATGGCCACACCCAGGTTACACCGGATACCGAAGGAGATACAGAAGCCCAGACCGCTCAGCATAGCGATGATGTATCTACGCGGAAGCCCGAAGCAGGTGCAGTCGCACAGGGGCGTCTTCCGCCTCTCGTCCGCCCTGGGTCTCCCATCCTCCGTCAGCTCGATCGTCTCACCTGTTTGCTGCCGCTTCTCCAGCCTCCTGCACGACAAACCCATTGTGCGCTCTTTTTAGGGCTCATTTTGACACTTGGATGTATGAAACCAAACATCCACACAGACTGGACTGCTGTGAAAGGAAGCTGCTGAAAAATTATGTGATTTCCTTGATTTTCTGCAAATAAACTCCATGTATGTACTTATACATTTATTCGCATATCCTTTATTGCTCTATTTGTAGCCACAAAGAAAATTAGCCTTAATAATCTCATTATTTTCTTCTTTTAATTAGGCACAGGCGCCTCAAAGCCTGCACCGTTTCACTATTTTTATTGTCTACTGAAATTCTCCATGTTCTTGCAAAAGAAAAGGCTGGTTGGCACATGAAGGGGAACGACCTTCATACCGCATTGCAGCAACATCGACATCGTCGTTTTTCAAACTTAATCTTGCCTTTTTAATTTGATTTTTTTTAGCTCTCATAAATATCACCTTCGGCTCCCATTCGAATTATTTTTTCATAGAAATTTGAGGTTAGTTTAAAAGCTAAACACAGAAACACGAAGGCCTCATCCAGTCAAATAACAGGCCTGATAGAGCCTAAATGAAACCTACACATTTTTTTTTCCTTTCACAGCTTTGAGTCACGTTTCTGTGTTGTAGCTTGGATTCACGTTCCACAACCAAAAGCCATTTCAGAAGCAAAAATAAACGAAAAAGATGAGCGCTTGCACCTAAAATGTATGTATTTAAGAATATACTTTGTCTTTTCAAATCATTTGTGCAGAATTTATTTTTTCTGGTTTCATATTCAACCACTGGTCATTTTATTCGCATCCGATAAGAATTAAAATATTTCAACTGTGTAAAGTGGTTCTCCCCTTAACCTGGTTTTAGATCTGTTGGCTTTGCAGTCAGTCATCAGGTTCCTTTATTATACATTTATTTTAGTGACACTATAAAGGATACAAGAAGTAAATTGATATGAAGTTAATCGATCTTACAGATGGATACATATCCTCCGACCTTATGTCACGACTCTTTCTGTTTCATTAATTATTAAAAAAACACCCACAACCGCTGGTGGAGGGGACCATCCTCCAGGGAAATATCTGATTCTTAAATATTCGGGCCACACGACTCAGCTCTCAGATGCCTGTCCATGATTCATCTCATAAACACGAGATTCCCCCTCAATTTAGTCGTAATTCGGGAGTAAGACAATTTAAAGCCATTGCATATTTTATGTGTAATCTTACATGTTGTGTATTTTCCCGTTTTAATTTCGCACATCAGATCCAATTCTGTGATTAAAGACGTGCATACATATTCATGTCTTTGCCTTACCTGTACAGATTCCCGAGGGCCTTTCCTGCGATTTGTTTCAGCCCCTCTTTGGTGGTGGGGAAACCTTTCTCCTTGCCTGGCTCCATATCTAAATTATCTTTAAAAAATTATAATTCTAGCCTATGACAAATGGAAGTGCAACATATTGTTAAGATATTTATCCAAATGACGCGCCTCTTTCTTTTAACCAGAAAATGTCTCGATGTCCTGAAAGGATGAGCCAGAAAACGGATAAAGAGGAGAAACACGTTCAGTCTGATGGGGCTGGTTTCACAGTCACAAAACAGCAGTCAAATAAGTCCGTTTTTGCCTTGCGCAGTGTTAATCCATGAAGTGCCATCTTAAGATCCAGCAGCGATTAGAAAACTGTAATACACAATAAAAAGTTGAAGATCCATTCGTAATCTTTCATAAATCGAGGTGGGAGATGTGAAATGCCGGTGGAGGTTAGTGGAGCCTCGGTCTGATCTGAGGTGAGGATCTCCGGTGAGCGGAGGAGGTTTCAGCACCGCGGACAGCGCACGGCTCGTCTACCTGTCAGCGGCTCCGTGCAGCGCCCCTCCTCCCACCGCTCCCACCTCTAATTCAATTACTCACAACAGCGACGGGCGTCTGTTGCATAACCCCTCTCCTTCATTTAAGGCCTATAACTGAATAGAAAAGAGATGAGCTTCGACCAATTATAGATCACTTGCTGCAGCAGGCACAAAGCGATGATCGCCCTCCACCACTCCAATATATCCGGTTATTTGTTCTTGTTTAAGAAACTGCGCTGTGACGTGCACAGACGATTTTAAAGATCTCAAGGACAGATTTGCAGTAAGCATTGTTTTCAGTCCACTGAACAGTAAATTATTTTTATACAGAAAGAAGGGCGTGCAATTCACTCATGGGGAACAGGACTGTAAAGTACAGTATGCAGCCGACCACGTAGAGGCAGTGTTGTGTAAGAAGACCAAACCTCATCTGATATGAGATTAAATGAGATAAAAGAGACCGGAAACCATTGTTATAAACAGTGTATTTATCGGATTCCACCCATTAAAGACAACAGGCCAAACAAAGTTTAGAGTTGCATCATGTTTGACACAAGCCGCTTATTAGAAAAACATCATTTATTTACATTTCTACGGTTCATTAGGATCCAGGTGCAGGCAGTGCGCACACAGGTGTGACAGTGTTCATCCCATGCCTTTTCCTCATCGTCATCCGGGTCCGCTTAGAGATGTCTGAGGAGACCTGCATGCCGAGACACTGTGAAACCATGGCAGCAAATGTACCGTGAAACTCCTTCCTGAACTGGCCGCCTATGAAGCAGCTAAACATAGGGTTAACGCAGGTGATGAGGCTGCAGAAGCACATTTCAAGGGCAAAGGCCAGGTCTAGGGGCCGCCAAGAGGCGGGGTTGTCAGGGTACACTGCTCGCATCACGATGGCAGCGTTTCGGCTCACATGGTAGGGCAGGTAGAACAGGACAAAGAGAACCAGTGCTGCGCATAACACTCGCCGAAGCCGCCGCTGCTTGTTGTGCCGGTCGGTGAGGCAGGGCCGGCGTCGCAGCTCTCTGACACTGCGCAGGCCGCAGTAGCAGATGGACAGCAGAGGGAAAAGGAAGCCGGCAATGGAGCAAAAGATAGAGTATGGGAGGCTTTCCTGGGGGTCACTCAGCAGTATGTACAGTGTACAGATGGTGCGGTTGCTCCCAGGGCAAGTGTGGATAAACGTCATACTGGCAACAGGTATGCTGAGAACCAGAGCAGCCATCCAGATCGCCACACACAGCAGGTAGGTTTTCCTCCGGCCCAGCAGCACCAGAGAGCGCAGTGGGTGCACAATGGCCAGGTATCGGTCCACACCGATGCAGGTAACGAAGAAGATGCTGAGGTAGAAGTAGTTGTGGTAGAGCATCCTCACAGCCGTGCACATCGGCAGCCCCAGGCTCCAGTACAGCTGGTCTAGATGGAAGTAGATGAGGAAAGGCAAGGCCAGAAGCCAGCTGGTGTCAGCTAGGGTCAGGTTGAAGAGGAGCACCGTACTGCGGGTCCAACGCCGCAGACGGTGGGAGAAAACCCAGAGAGAGAGCAGGTTGAGGGGCAGCCCGAGGATCAGCACCACCAGAAAGAAGGAAGGCATCACGTAGAGCAGGACCACCGGTAAACTCTGATGTGTGCCCAGCTCGCAGAAATCTTCTTCTGGAGGCTGGATGGTCATGGGCACAGAGGCTCAGCTTTAAGGTTTGACATGCAGTGCTACTTCAAGATAGTTCAAATAGGTTTTCAGCTTCATTTAATTGTAAACAAATTAGGGATTTCTCTTCAGATAACATACTAACCATGCTTTACCATAATCCAAATATTCTGTTAAAAATGAATATTCTTGGTTGATAAATCCAGGTGTACCCAACAGACAAAAAGGTTAAAATCACAGTGAACCTTTCTAACCTACCTGAACCTGAGTGTTGCCCATGTCTTTACTGCAGTGGCTTAAGTGTTTGTGCCAAGCAAAACAACCATACCAACTATATTTTAGTGTAAAACACACCCACCAGTGTGAACAAACACTGAATAGTTATCAGTGCCCTTTCATGCCATCTGTTATGTGACCAGCAACTTCCACATCCTCAGCGAAGGAGCCCACAGTCTACAGCACCAATCCCAACATGTTAGACAACTATGCAAGTTGAACTGATGCTTTATTTTGGAGAACTGTTTATGTTACATTACACATTTGGATATAGGATAATTACAAAAATGGCAGAACAAAATGAATGAAAACATGAAATTGTAACTAATCATATAGGGTCACCTTTTTCATGTGTGGTTAACAGTAGAAAATATTACTAAAGCATAACAAGAGGCAATAAAAAGTAAACTTAAAGGCGATGTACAAAAATTAAAATAGAAAACAAAGTTAAATTATGTATTAAGGCATCAACAGGCATTAGTTTAGTTAAGCACACGGCTTGAAGAAGGCAAACTGGAACAGTCCGACAAATCCAAACAAGATTTAGTCGCAAAACATTAACAGTAAAAGTAACAAAAGTTACATAAAATTCAAATACTTCTCACATATTTCTCTGTTGGCAAGTTAATAAATATGAGATATCCTTCATACAGTTTCAGAATTAAAGCTTCATCTTTCTCCTTAAGCTCAACAAACATAAAAACCAGCCCGGAACTCCTTCTTACCTACAGAACAACGTCTGTTCCATTTAAAGCGCACAAAGACTATCACATGTTGCTGCTTCACAACACTGTTTGTGAATATGTATGTAGTGTCATGACAACAAACAGACTGACATGGCTTTATGTATTGGTAGCCACATTTCATGAAGTGCTTTGTGCAAAAAAAAAAAAAAAAGAAGAATGTGTATCTTTCCTTGTCTACACAGACAAGTGAGGAAACCAGAAGCTCGAGAACTGAGTGACGGCTGACATGCTTTGTGTAATAGAGCAAACATAGTTCAGTAGATGGGGCCAGGCTTTCATTAGCTCTGTCATGTTGGTAAACAGAAGCACATTAAAAAGGGATCTCTTCACTCTCTCTGGGCTTTTCGTCTCCCATCTCCAGGAACAGTAACAGTCAACATGCGCCAGCTGCTGTGCTGCGGTTGCTCGACAACTGGCCATTGCAGGACAAAATCTGTCCTTACTCACAGTGGTAACAGCAACACAGATTTCTCTACTTCACGTGTTTGGTTTTTACCTGGAGAAACTGTCGGGCTGTAATGAGATCATAGCTACATTTGACCAGGCCTGCCAGCCAGTGGAGTGACAAGGACAATTTGGTAAAAGTGTGTTACCTGCAGTACATCTGTGCTGTGACCTTAGTCCTGTCAAACAATGCTCACATTTGTTGAAGTAATAACAAACAAACAAAAAAAAGATGTTGAACATTAACTTACTTATAACAATGGAACTCTTCATATAGCAACGCATAAAAACAAGAAAATATTCAAACATGAAAATGAGCGAGATCTCATTTTCCACATTGTATTGTCATTCTACTGACAGATAGAACTGATGATAAGTGTGATATATTAAGGCATCTAGTCTTTGGTTACCGACAGTGGTATTTAAATTAACAAGCTTGCATTAAAACAAGAGTAAGTTGTCTGGCATAGACTCAGTGTATACGATCTCCTGTCTCCTTCCTCTACAGCAAATTTTGGATATCCTTAGCACTATAAGTACAGCATAGAGTGAAAATCCATAAATACATGACAGACATTTAAATTCAAGTGCCTCAACTTTGAGCATGCACTGAGACATGGTCTTTCATCTGTGTGCACTTCCACTATCAGCAGATAAGTAGAAGATGGATGGCTGTCAATCAGTGAAACCTCTAGTATCATAATACATAAGCAGGGCAATCTCATTAGCATGTATTCCCATCATGTCCAGTTGAATGACCAGCAGCTCGCTGGGCTAGAGGCATTCTGACAGCACCTCATGTTTGGATAAAGACGGATAGACGGCGGCGGCGGGTATGCAGGTACACTCATTGCTGCTGTTTTGGCAGAGCTGGGTCTTCAGCTTCTCCACTTCATAGTTGTGGAGATACTCCTGGACCAGGTAGCGTTCTCTCTTTACTCGAGCCCTCACATCTGAGGGAACATCAGGAATCATCCAGGCCACAAAGAACTTGACTGAGAACACAACATGCTGTGGAGGAAAAGGACGCATCCGATTTTATTTTAAACTAGAGTTAGCAAAACTAAGAGTTGCAGAAAAACATTGTATCATGTCTTTGAAAAGTGTGAGGGAGGACAGGAGTTACTATTAATGTAACAATCGACCACTGCCCAGGGTATGAATGTGAGGCCCAGCTCAAGTGGTCAGTAGATGTTGGTGCTAATTTTACCTCCATGATAATGATGAAAGCCAGCTTGGCAGCCAAAATATGCCAGAACTGCATAGTGTGGGTATACTGCCTCTCATGGCCAGGAGGGTAGCGGAAATCACGATACCTGTAAAGACAGAACAACAGAGCTGCACATGTTTACACTTCTTTGACTGAAGAGTGTTTAATGTCATTCTTCAGTTCAAACATAATTATAATAGTCCAGAAATAATATTACCATGGTGCAGACTAATACAATATATAACAACATAAAGCTTTAGTCACATAATCAAATATAAACACCGATTTACATAAACTGATTCTTCAAAA